GGAAGACGCGGCCGGCCCGGTCGCCACGCGCGGCTCTAGGCCTGATGCAACAGCACGGACGAATGGGAGCAGCTGACGGAGCCGATCAGCGGCGAAGGGGCGGCCTCCTCTTCGCTACGTGACGGCTTGCCTTCCTTCGGGTTCCGGCTTTTGACAGATTTCCGCGTCGATCTGCCGCCGGGCTGGCCGCGCTTCGGCCCGCCGGTGTCTGCGGCACAGCAGCCAGCTAACGTTGTAGGATGGAGAAGATGATCCGGGTAGTTAAATCCCTAAGACTCGGAGTTGTAGCGGAGTTAGTCTGTGCAAGCATTTCAACAAACGCAAAACCAACCAACCAAAATTTTGCCCCCAAAAAAGAAAGAAAGAAAAAAAGAGAGAAGACTTTGTGGCACTTTATTTATTTATTCCCCCCCCCAGCTTTTACCCCCCCCCATCTAGATTCAATGAATCTACTCTGAGTGGCTTACATTCCGAATATAAAGCAAAATTTAAAACACACAATATCAAACAGCACAGAGATAAGGAAAGTCCAAGATGGTAAGACATAGGGAGCTAAGAAATGGAAGGGGGGAAGGCCTGCCTGAAGAACCAAGTCTTCAGCGTGTTCTTAAAAACTCCCAGCAAGGGAACCAGGCGAATCTCAAGAGGTAAGCAGAGGCGAGGGGCCGCTGCCGAGAAGGCTTGGTTTCTAGTTCTGTCCTCTGGGGCCTCTCTCGGGGTCAAGCCCCTCAGCCACCCAGCCTGGCTAGATCAAGTGACACGAGTAGAGCTAGGTGGGAGCAGGCGCTCTGTCAGGTATCAAGGTCCTAAACCATTTAGGGCTTTATATGTAAGCATTAATACCTTGAAGTAAATGCGGAAATGAATGGGCAACCTGTGTAAGGCTGCAGAGTAGAGGAAATGGCGGCTGTGATCTGGACCATTTGTAGTTTCCACGTCAGTCTCAAGGGCAGCCCCACGTAGATGACATTACAGTAGTCTAATCCCAAGACTAAGAGCACATGGACCAGAGTGGTGAGCGCCCCAACATCAAGATAGGAGCGCAGCTAGGCAACCCGCCAAAGATGTAGGTGGGTGGTGCGGACCACAGACACTACCTGGGACTGCATGGTACGTCCTGGGTCAAGATGAACCCCCAAGATTAAGTGCTGGGTCAAGATGAACCCCCAAGATGCAAACCACACTCTTTGGAGTGAGAGTCACCCCCCCCCAAAGAGGGAGCTTCCCAAACCACTGATACAAAGGGCGCCCACCCTCAAGACTTCCGTCTTTTCCGGATTTAAAGATTAGCAGATTTATTTTAATGTAAGCTTTTGTGAAACAACATCTTTTTTTCCCTTTTGATTTGTGTTTCTTGTTTACAGAACTAGGCTTCGAAAGAAGGGAATATGAAATGGGTCATAAATCATTACTAGGTGGCGAATGCAACCAAACAACCAAGACTGCCTGCCTCAGAGCCGTTTGTCTGAAGATGTGCACAATGTTCCTGAGAAGCTTACATTAAGATCTAGCAGTTAGTCTTTGCAGTGCCCCAATGTCCTTTTTTTCTCTTGTTTGTTTTGTGTTTCTTGTTGAAATTTTCTACCAGTGTGATAGAAAAGGTTTTAGATTTCAAAAGTGTTCGTTCCTATTTGGTTGCTACTGAGATAGGTGGCCATCCTGGATGGAAAAAGTCACATGAGATTTGCCCTTTAGAGCAACTAACAGTGGGCAGGCCAACAAAAAGTAGAAGGGCTATGTCGTGCTTGTACAGTATACAAATTGAAAACAAGAGAGGACAATGCGACCCTTATTAGGCCATTAGAACCCCACAAACAGGTGCTAGCTTTTGAGTTTAGCAGGAATCTTTGTCAGGCTGGGCATTATGTTGCTGAAAGAGGCAAAAGAAAAAGAAAGTTCCTCCAAATTGTGGCTGGAAATAGTGGCCAGGCTCTTTAAAGCACATTCCAAAATGCAACCCGCTCCCCCTCCCCCCATCATGCCGAGCTCGTTGAAGATCCCACAGGACTGAAAAGCTAAATGGTCTAATAAAGATATTGATAACTCTTGATTTTCAGTAGTGTACGGTGCTGACCAAGCTCAGTTCAGTTGACTCAGAATACAGTGGAGATCCATCAGTTCAGCTGGTTTGTTTCCAAGACAATCTGTTTATGCTTCCAGGGTTTATGCAACACGAGGGTTCAAAGGGTCCTCATTTTGCAGGTCTGTCAATGAGCTGATATTGCGACATTAACCCTGCTTATGTACCTACTTTAAACATTGGGAATAAACATTGACATCCTGGGTGTCAATGAACTAAAATGGAT